AGTGTGGGAAGGAACATAAAAGTGAGATTCACGTTGAGAGGCCGGTACCACTAAGAGAATAAGAAATCACTTATTTCAGCAGAGCATATTGCTGTTTGCTACATGCATGAGCTTGGGTTTACCTAATTAGTACTCCATTGCGAATCTTTCACGTTGGTGCAATGATTTGGCCAAGATTGCCCTGATTCCTGGTCAACCCCAGCAAACCAGCGGAGCCGAAGAACGCTGCCATCTCTACCTAGCTGAGTGCGCTGTGGTCTACCAATCTCGAGGTCGAAGCAGTCGGATATTTACACAAAGAGTAAGTTCTGTTCGGTTGTGAGAATCCAGCATTTCTTAAGAATATTTCCGGCGGTAAAACCTCGCCTTGTGGACTGAGCGAAGTGCGACTACACTGATTGTCGTGTAGAATGAATCCGCTGAAGGAGAATAATTAACTTGGCGCTGGCGGTTTTGTTCTAGCATGTCTATTTGCCTAAGCTGCTTCACATGGTCCTACCTTACTAATCATAAACGAAGATGGGGCAACTCTCGGGGCCGGAAGCGAATGTCAGCATGACTGCAGTTTTGAGAGATGGTGACAAGCCCGTACGTAGTAAGCTCGAGTAAATCTTTAGGGTGATCCTCCGGCCCCACATTACCGGCGCCGTGACTAATGCCCTTATTTCCTCGGCGCCGAAATGATGCATGTCACTCAAGGACCTCAAGCCCGATGTTTGAAGCCCACTAAGTCGGCTTGACTACATAAGGCCTGATCTCACAGATGGTATTTTGTCAAAGCCAGATAGGATTGAAGCTTCAACATCACTTGACATTCTGAACTCGCCAAGTCGCTGATATAAGCATTCCGCTTCTGAAATACCAACACACCACAGGCATCAAACTCTCTGCTACCTAGCGAAACAAATATGGTCGATTCATTCCCTCACCAGCGCATAGTGATTTCTAATCTCGATATCGGCTCAGACAATGGCAACGGCAAGACTGAACCTGGAGTGGAGGTAGTTACAGATAACTTGGTGACAGAGAATATGTTCGACGGCCTGCTACAGAGAACCAAGATTGGGACTATCTCGGCTGTCCCTGCCAGCAATGAAGGGCTGTGAGTAAATTCGGCTGCAAGACCGTAACGAATAGAGATTGACTTCGTCAAGTGGCCTGCCGGTCTTTGCTGACGTCCCTGGAAGTGGGATAGTCTTGCCAGGCGGAGTGAACGTGTACTTCTTGGATTTGGCTCCTGGATACACCACCCCGATGGTAAGTTGATTTCCTTCTCCTAAGATATTCTAGCAAACAATCCAAAATCATTGACGTGTCTTGCCCTGAATTCACCCCAAAGGCTGACTCAATCATTTCAGCATCGAACCCCATCAGTCGACTACGTTGCTGTCACCCAGGGAACGCCTGTTCTTATCACACCAAAGGCTGCTTTCAGCGCCAACAATGATCAGGCTGACTACGAAGAAACTGTTGAAAGCCTGCTTCGGCCGGGAGATGTTGCCGTTCAACGGGGGGCAATGCACTCGTATGCTTCATGTCTCTTTGATAAATAACATGTCATTCTTGAACACCAGAGCTAACCCGTATGGTCTGTAATAGCTGGGCAAATAGAACTAACGAGTGGGTTCGCATGATCGGCATGGTAGTCGACGCAAAGCCCTCCGAAGCTACGGTAGATGGAAAGCGATTGGAGCTTGGCGAGAGATGGCTTCAGTAAGCATCGGCTCGCAAATCAGAAGTGTTTGATAGCAACACTGGCGGAGCGTCTTGGAGTTGTCTGGTGTAGACTAAGTTGTTCATCTGGAAAAGGCTACGGGGAGAGCTATTATGAAAGCAACTGCAGACAGAGACACGCGTCTAAGAAATTATCGGCTTAGGTAAATGACCACACAGTGTATTTGGTCAGTCTAGTCTTTGATATTCACTCCCGGCCGTGGGGTGTATACGAAACAGTTCCTGTCGTAGAAGAGTACACCCGTGCCATCCTCTTTGTCCACGCCGTCTTCTACAGGGACATCGAATAGCTTGCATTCTTTAGCGGCCGACTGATACGAGAAAGACTGGCATCGAGGTGGGCGGCGTCCATCGGTGCATAGCTCCCAGCATTCGTATGCGTTATCAAAGTTTGACCCGAGACCATAGTTCCCATATGCAGGCTTGATGCTGCCCCCAACATTGCAGGTCTCATTGACTGGAGCCTGCGGTGGCCAAGTAGCGAGAGCATTGGCACCAAGTACCAACACTGCAAGATATTGCAGAGTTGTCATTTTGAAAATGGTAGAGTCGAGGATTGAAGTAAAGCCGGTTGATCGATTCGCCAACCAACTCGGTCAACTGATTATGGCAGGAAAGGTTGAAAGCCTGCCAGCGTGCATGACACAACTTATTCGTATTTATAGGTCAAGAAACAAAGGCTACCCCGCCCAGGTAAGCAACTAAAGTAAGTCTCTTTCTGTCGAATGCATGATGCAGCTGACACAGGATGTAATGTTCCAATTGGTGTTGTCGACATGCAGCCAAGCCTCAGCTCGTATAACCCCTCGATGCTAGTCTTTTGGAGGTTGACTTGTGCTACAGCAGCTGGGCGGAATGGAGGCTTCAAAGTCAGGCTTGATTCGCTGCCATCAAAACGAACGCAGCGACATAATAACAAATTGCGCATGTCTGATCATTCCAGAATGATCATCCGGCCTCGCATTTCCTGAACTGGCCGCAGGGACGGTCATCACTTATTGACTCTAGATGAAAAATTGCGAATGGGGCAGGAAGCATAAAACGACCTTAGATCCCCACAAAGGTAAAGCACCGTACACGGTACCTGCTCAAAATCAATCTTTGAATAGAAATAAGTTGGCATAATGTTGTGGTATCATCTGGATATCTCAAGGTAGTTGACAATCGAATGGTACCAAATTGCCACAAGATTTAAGTCTAGACCTGCGTGGTGGACAAACTGTAACATGCGAAGACCGAAGCAGAAGCTGAAGCCGATACCAGCGGCTACACTCACGAAAGTATAGGTTGCGAGTGGAATTACACGACAAATTTGCCGTCCTGTCGAGTACGGATGGCGTCAGTACAGACGTATCCCGGGTTCCTCTACCCCTGTTCCCAACATCACTTTCTTCATTCGAAGATGTGAGTGGAATGGGATGGGATCGGCACGTAGTTCACTGCTATTCCAAGTATATACGCGTATCTGCTCGTGTACCGATGCCATCCAGCACTCGACAGGATAGCTATGTCGAGGAAGAATGAAGAGCCGGGGGTATCGGAACTGAAAAGCTTCGAAATTTGATAGCTTCGTACCGTACTTGACTACTTGGCAGACATGATTCAGGTATTGAAAACGACGACCTTGTCACGTGGCCACGAAGAACATATTTGATGAAACGTTTCCGCCCACAAATGGTGGAACAGCTCGGAGGTTAATTGATTTCATCAGCGAGCCCGCCGCTTGCCGCTAACAGTGAAATGTTAAAGCTTCAGCACCCAACATCAAGCCTCCTGTTGGCTCATGTACGTGAACACAAGATGTTGCCAGCCGCGCTGAGTTTGGAACCGTAGTTTTGACTACACGTTCATCAAGAGCAGCATGGAATATTTTCCGCTGTACTGATGATAAAGCTGTTCACGTGCTTAACAACCCTTTACGGACGTCGCCGCGTGTAAACAGGGATGAGCCTAGATGAGGCAGGTCGGGAGCTCTAGAGTATTGCCAAATAGGGCTCTTACGCCGTCAAATGGGGCAACAAGCCTTGGGAATTGCCGTCACAAGACCGGCATTCATTGATTGCCGCGGGGCCTTCAATCGGTAATCGGAACGCATCGTCAGCGCCAAGATGAACTGCACTCGGATGAACCACGTCCACTTCTCTCTTATCCACGTACATTCACCTTCCCCATTGGACAGTTTAGCGCCGCATTGCGTGATTAGGAAAAAGTCTTTACCTCCCCCTTTGGCTTTTGGCAGATCCTTGATTCAATCATACTTCTCACTAACTTGTTTGTACCAAGGATTTGGGTGGTGGTTCCTGTCGGCGGAATGTTCTTTAGCGGAAACTCGGCGGAGTTTCAGCGGAGATACGATCGAGCTCATTCTAGATTCTCGTCTCTCGAAAATTCCGCACCCTTTCATTGCTGTCGATACCTATTTCATCACGCAGCTCCTGCGAAACTTACCGTCGAGAACTTGGCAAGCTGCGAGAAGTTTCGTGTAGATAGCCCGCGCTGAGAGTAATGTGGGCTATCCGGGCAACGTCCGATGCCGTTGTCGGAAGGGAATCTGGCCATGACAATATGCCAGATGGAGCCCCAATACCTAGACCCTTCTGTCATCCACCGTAAACTCATGACAGGCCACCATGACGGATTTGAGTCTATCCACACACACTCGCATCTCCCCCTGTTGAATCATTCCGTCGCCACATCTGATACGTTCTTCATGCCCTAGGACGAGACAGGTTTTGAGGCCGAAAACCAAGGAGCATGATGCTTGGTCTACGATTACAAGACTCAGAGTTGACTCCTCTAGTGCCATCATCCTAGCAGTGTCTACGCGTAAAGCGGAAGGTAGTGCTGACAATAGAATCGCTCAAATTTTCGAAAAGGTAGAAGCAAGTACCTCGAGGTAGTCGCAAATGTACAGCTGTTCGCTTGTAGACCTACAATTACAGAGAAGTACAACAAGTTCAGCCCTATTGGGACTTAAGCATACTTGTATCCGACGAAAGCCATAAATTTCATACCCTATTGTGGAAATGCGCGTACGCTGTGCAACTATGGAGACTCAACATGATGTTCTTTCCTCGGTTTCGCTTTGACGTGGAAAATCACGAAAATCGTAGATGGTTTGGAGAATCCTGACCAGGTTTTAACAGACTCATAAATATCTACAAGTAGTATCATGCAGGTCTAAACCCAATCTCACGCTAACATCGATCTTAATCCCCCCCATAATTACCAGAAAAGACATTCGCCGTATCTCTCAAACTACAATCATGTTTACAACTCTTCTTGCGGCCGTGGCTATTGCTGCCAGTCATGTTGCACACGCTTCTACCTCTGCAACTCCTAGCCTCCTCCTTTTCTCCAAGACGGCTGGCTATCGTCATGCAAGGCATGTATCGCGCTCCCTATTTATTGTTTTCTCTGTCTAATTAGGGCATTTGAGCTATTAGCATCCCTCATGGTATCCAGCTCGTGAGCTCCATTGCCAATGAGAAGGGTTGGTCAGTCGCGGCGACAGAAGACTCTGCCATCTTCACCAACGGGAGCCTGTCCGCCTACAGCACTCTGGTCTTCATCTCCACGACCGGCAACTACCTGTCAACTAATGAGTCGGATGCTCTCAACGATTTCCTGCTTAACGGTGGCTCTTGGCTAGGCATTCACGCCGGTAAGTTCAAGTTGATGGATGTATTCACAGCGCTAAAGACATGTCTGACGTTTTCAAATATAGCCGGTGATTTTGGAGACGATATGCCTAACTGGTTCACCAAGCTTGTTGGTGCACAGGTAAGACGCAGTGTCGGGTTTCCCACCTTTCCTAGCTTTATTGACCTCGCCAAAGTTCCGATCCCACCCTTGTGAGACAGACGACATTTGTGACGACGCGCAGAAAGAGCGATATCCTCCTAGTGAGTTAACAATAAGCTCGATTGTCAATTAAACATAAGAAACTTCTAACGTTTTCCCTCTCTAGATGGCAACATTCGCTCAGACATCGTCACAATTCTCGACTTTGACCATCCCTCGACCTCTGGTCTTCCAGAGAGCCACAACCGGACGGACGAGTGGTATGCATACAAGACTAATCCTGCCGATGATTCTGCATACAAAGTTCTCGCAAAGGTGGAAGAGACATACATCGACGAGATCACGCTATCTCCAGAGCTTCAGCACATGCCTCCCATGCACTCTATTTCGTGGTACTCTATGTACGAGGGCGTGGCTAGGGCGTTCTACACTGGTATGGGACACACTAATGAGTCTTATTCTGAGGAGTACTTCGTCAAGCATGTCACTGGAGGGTTAGAGTGGGTCACCGGCACTTCAGATTAAAGAGTGGGCACAGCAAGACGGGATCGACTGGTCCCCATCAAGGAACGACTCAGTCTTGGTTTTTGCGGATTAATTTCCTGTAGTACAAGAATGGTCCGTCATCGAACTCTTGATAAGGGGTACGTGGCCGATGACGTACCCCAAGTTCAAACTCTTAACAGTCTGATGAAGAATAAGTAATTCATCCACATGCTGGATTTGTAGTGATTGTGCATTTTTTTCTTGTTTTCCTGTTGGAAAGATCATTAGACGAATAAGAATACTAGCATTAAGAAAAGACCAAACTTATTTACAGGAAACGATGAGATGTTTAGAACTTGAATGCTTGGGGAATTGAAAATTAGTTGACACAATGTCACACCATGCTAGACTGACACCAACATGATGAAAGTCAACTTTACGTCCGACGTGTATCTGGGCCAACATAAACCAGAGACATCAAATTTACACGCCAGTGCAGACATAATAACCCAGCCACAGATTGCTGCAACTCGAGTCAACTTGTGTGTTGTACGAAAGGAGTTGCTCAAACGTGATGCCCGCGCTGCTGTAAATAGACCAACAGCTGTCGCCAGACTTGACTTGGTAGAATGTCTTGCAGTTGGAGACGATGCCAGGCATCTGGGGTGTCGGGCCGGTGGAAGGAGGAGTCGTCGGCTGAGTGGTGCCTTGAGTGGTGGTGGCCGCGCCAGGCACGTGGACACAGACGTAGTAGTCGAGCCAGAGGTTGGTACAATCTGTTGGGCGACATGTTAGAGCATTGAAACCGAGCAGTCAAAATGATTATACGTACCAGCGTTGATCTCGGTGTTCCAGCTCTTGAACTGAGCAGTGCTGATGCCGTACTTGGATGAGATGGCGTCACAGGAGTCACCGGAAGAGACCTTGTAGAAGCCATCACAGTTGGCTGCGAGGCCGGGCATAGTTGGGGAGTTACTAGGGGCCGCAGCGGTGGTAGTGGTAGAGGAGGATGTGGTAGTAGTTGAGGTCTTGGAAGTGATTGACGTGATGGGGGTAGTGCTCTGGGATGTCGTAGTCGTCGGCTCCGGGTCATTAGTGACAGTACCGATCACGCAGTACGACTTGCTGGTGTCTAGTGCAGGACAGGTGATTCCGGGGTTCAACTTCTGGAGATCGTCGACAGAGAGCCCCCAGCTGCTCGCAAAAGTTGTGCAAGTGTCACTTTTACTAGGGGCCGTGGAGAAGGCGCAGTCGACAGCGCGGCGCGAGAGAACTGACCCAGCAGAAACTAATCCAGGGAGAACTCCCGCAGCGGCGATGAAATGAGTGATCTGCATCTTGAGGAGATAATTGGCAGAGAGGAAATACCCTAAAGAAAGACAAGAGAAGTATGATGTTGATGATGGTAATCATGCGACACTTGAACGCGGCCTGGAAGCCCGAGTCTTATACTCGCCTCCGACAGATTGTTTCCTCTTTCCAAACAGGAACTCAAATTTCGCTAGGTGTAATCCTTCAAGGCAGAAAGAAAAGACTTCTCATCGACTCGACCTTGACAACATCCCACTTCCGGTCATAGGAACCAATTCGACTTCGGAAAGCACAATGCAGGAACTATCATCATGATCCGACTTACAGCGGCAAACGCTCTTCCCCGTTCAATAATATCTAAACCCGAAATCCGCTCGATGAATTCTTGAGTGTAACTCTACACGGCCCAGCCGGTGGCGCAGAAAGAGAGAACGGTTCAGAGTTGCCGAGACATGTCAAGTCTCTCAGGTACCACCTTGGCGCCAAGCGCGGCGTGCGTGATCATTGCTTAATACTGCTTCCGCTTATTGGCAAGGCTGCCGAGAAGGATTCGATACATGTATTATGTAGGCACCCGCGGCAAGGATGATCGGACCAACTAGCCTATCAACTCTGTTGGTTGCTGTCACATTGTAGAAGCAACTGTTTGCGCCAAGCCGGCCAATCGGCACCAACGTGAACTCTCGTGCTTTAATTCAACTCTTTTTTCCCGTCACACAGTCAAGAGACGGATCACACACTGAACAAGCAGGCTGAAATGGGTAGGATGGTGGGAAATAGCCCGGGATAGTGGGGGTGGCTAGGCGCTTTCTTTGCCCATCCATCTGTATAAAATTCCATGTTTCTTACTTTTCCGTGCCTCTTTTTCCCCATCGCAACGAAATTATTGCCTGCCTATCTTGCCCCATCGAAACCGAGGCATCGAGCATCGCCTACTGCTACCCATCAAGCTTCCGGATCTGGTAGAGCGTCAGCATGTACACAACATTATGGACGACTAGTTGGCGGCTCCTTCTAGCCTGTGTCTGGACCATCCTCGGAGCAACCACCGTCGCAGCAAGCGATCAGTCGGGCGTCGTGGAAGTTGACCTGGTATTCCCCCGCAATGAGACATACGCGCCGACGCCGCTTTTACCCATTGTCTTCGGTTTCCAAAACTCGCACTTGGCGCCGGGGCTCGCTCTTAAGATCGGTTTCTCGATATGGAACTACAATAACAAGAGCGATTCGGTCAAGACCACGGAGTACGACGTGAGATTTGCCAACTTCTCCAGCAGCGACCCATACTATGAGTACCGCGGCTTCGCCATGTTCAACGTTGAGGGGACCTGGCAGATCAGATACACCGTGTCATGGTTCAGCTGCACGGAGGATTCATTCAAGTACCCATACGAACTTCCCAGCAATAACACGTCCAACGCCGTGATTTTCACAACCAAGACTGCCGGGCAAAGTGTGGATCTCATGGCCGCCACAAACGGACAGGATTGCTCATCTGACGCGGGTGTCGCCATCAGCGTGACTGATACGCTCAACTCTACCGGAATCTCAAAGTGGCCAGGCGGCGATACGTGTGCTGTGGTGGCTTCATCAACGGCCACGCCGAACCCTTGCAAGATCAAGATGAGCGAGGCCGACGCGTCGAGTATCTCTGCTGCTGTCACTGCTCGGGCGTGCGAGGCACAGAATCCACCAATTGAATGCCCTTCAGGCAACGGTGGTGACGAAAATGCTGCGGATCATGGGTTGGCTGTTGGAGGGGTGGTGTGTTTGGCTGCCGCATTGGGTGCCATCCTCCACGTTTTGATGTGAGAATGGGCTGAATTGTGGTTGTATTTCGCACCGAGATGACTCAATATGAAAGTTTCTACGATAACTGTGAAAAATAAAGCCTCATTGAGGGTCTGCTAAGGTATCCGAGATCAGGCTGAACAAGAATGCCCTGCGTCGTCCTGCTGTGCCTCCTGCATGGTGTTCGCAGGTGACCATGCTTAAAGGATTTAACTTAGATGAAAACAGGCAACATGAGAATATCATTGGGCTGATGTAATATCAGTGTAGCAATATGGGTATGCACAGCGGGAGCGGATGAGATTCAGAACTTTTGCACCTCCGGATGCAGGGGAACATGACTGAAAAATGATGTGAAAGGGGGGAGGGAGGCGGGCTTGGCGAACTTCGGAGAGTGGCGGTCCATCCCGCTCCGTCGCTTCCGCCAGCCCGCTCATTTAGCTTAACTCTAAGCATGTTGTTTCTCCGGGGTTGGGCGACTCCACCTTGATCCTTCGGAAGTGTTCTTTCTGGAAACTCAGCTGTTGGTCATGCTTGTTGAAGGGGGGCAGATGCGTGAAGGATCACTTGCCGTAATGTGCGTCCAACTGCCAAGGCTCTACGATCGAGTTGCCAAGCGTAGAGCCTTGCGGGTTATGCCTAATAACGTAGAGAACTTCGGTAAACACGGCATACGGAAGGTGATTTTGAGGCAAAGGTCGTGAGGCAGCTCTTTTCGCCCCCGAAAAGTGCAAGGATATCGCAACCTCCAGACAGTTGGAATGGAGGTTTTGTGTTGCGTTGAAGTGGAATTCTTGCTGCCTTCTGGCCGTTCATGGATTCAATAGTGCTTACTCGCAATTTGGAACTTGTTATCGATCGATATCATGAGGTTATGGGGGCGGGTTGGGATCAAAGTGGAATCCGAACGGGATTCAGAACTCTGTGCTTGATCGGATGCGAGGAAGATTCATTGTCGTGGTTTGAGTGTTGGCTTGGGGGATAGACTTTTGTCTATCTCAACCGAGTGAATGATATAAAGCTGCTGCGCTGTCAACAACTACAGTTATCAAAACGAGTCAACTGAATACGCTCCTTCCAATCTTTTGTCTCTTATCTATCTTGCATTTTGACTCTTATTCGTCCCCCCCATCTCAACCAACTTCCTAATTTCTTTACCCCCTGACTCATATTGTACGAGGCGTTAGCCTCTAGAGCCAATATGCACTTGCCATGGCTCACCGCGGGCTTTATGGCTGTTGGCTTCTTGACTGAAGGAGCCTCAGCGAGGTCGCGGACCGGGCTGAGACTTCCCTCCAGCCCTACCTACAGCAGCTTCGAAACTTGCCCAGAGCGTTGCAGTGTCTCTGGTCCTAATATTGGGAACTGGTCGGTCTATCCCGACTTCAAGCACATGCAGAAATGTAAGCAGACCATGTTCTACCGCTTCTCTCTCTTCGACCCCGTTGACGACAAGGCGGCTAATCATCGCATCCATGCCTGTTCGTCATATGGTCCTGATTTCTCCAAGCTGCCTGTATCGACCGCTCGCATTCCATCAACAAAGTCAGTCGACGTCGACTTTAAAATTGGATGGTGGCAAGAGGGTTTTGGCCAAGCCACCGCCGGCCTTCGCTCTCTGATCAAACAGATGCGCAACTATGTTGATCATGGGCATGGCGAGACTGACGGACCCTTCATCATGTTTGGTCAGTCTGGGCAAGCCACAGTCGGACTCTACATTGGCCAAGGTCTGCTGAACCAAGGCATTGGCGAATCGGCCCTCAAGAATCTCCACGATACCTTGCCTACTCTCAACGTCTCAACACCAAGCCTGGCCATGCAACTTTGCGAGCCAGGCTACGACAGCACTCACATCTTTGGATTGATGCTCTTGAGTAATGGTTCCTTCGGCCCGATTCAGGACGCCTTGAAGACGTGGGATAATGCTACTTGCC